CAAGTCCCCCAACTATTTTCTCTATACTGTGGATTGAAGTAACGGAGGAGATGGCGAGTCGCCTGAAGGAAGACGAGAAGAATGAGCGCGTGATTCAAGGTCTTTTGAAGCTTCAACCTAATCGCAGATGCATTTACTGCAACAGTCTGGGACCACAATATGTGTGCACAAATTTCTGGACGTTTGTTTGCACAAACTGTAGTGGAATACATCGGGAATTTAGTTATCGAGTATAGTCAGTTTCAATGGCTAAGTTTACTTCACAAGAAGTTAGTGCACTTCAAGAAGGAGGAAATTAGCGTGCAAAAGAAATATATTTTAAAGAATGGGATGCACAACGTCATTCTTTCCTCGATAGCAGTAATGTTGACAGGCTCCGAGACTTTATTAAGCATGTTTATGTGGATAGAAGATTTACTGGAGAAAAGCCCAATGACAAACCACCAAGAGTCAAAGCAGGTGACAAAGATGATTTCTATCAAGGAGGAAGATCTAAAAGCCCTCCCTATGAGGATGCATATGAACGTCGTTATAGTGACAGATCTAGTCCAGGTGGAAGAAGTCCTGGATATGATCAAGAAAGTAGGCAATATGGTGATTATAGGAGAAGTCTTGGTCGTCCTCCAATAATTAATGATTGGCGCCGTGAAGATCGTAGAATATCATATGGAGATTATAAGGTGGAAAGACAATCTCCTGAGCGAGCTAAAGATATGGGTTCTTCAAGCCCACCAGTGGTCCGACCTGTTAGAGAAATATTGGGAGAAAATGTAGTACCTCTTTGGATAAGTGAACCACCCAAATCAAACAGTGGAAGACCTGCTGATAGTTCAGCATTGACACAGAGAACTGCATCTTCTAGTAACTTAACATCTGTCAACGAAAACCCAGTAGATGTTAAACTTGAGACGACTAAGAGCCTTATTGAGTTTGATGCTAATCCTGAACTTCTGGTAGCTCCATCAATTCCTCAAGCCCAACAATCTACTGTGTCGAACCTGTTGTGCAACCAACAAATTCTGGCAATGACAATTGGGCCTGTTTTGATGTTGCTCCTGGGGCTAAAGCAACTCCAAGCTCCTCAAATTTCAATTCACTTGCAGTGTTATCTGAATTGTCTGTCCCAGCATCTTTACCTACTCAATTTTCTGGAGTCCAAGTACCTATTCCAGCACCATCTCTTACTTCTACTTCTGGAGCCGCAAATGTTACTAGTTTCTCAGCTTTTCCACCCAAGCCGGTTTTGTAGGGTTGAGTTAGGCTTGATCCACTATTCTAACATGGTATCAGAGCCATTTAGATCCACTTTAAAAAAGGGTCACCCACCATTTATCCACGTACCAAGCCCAATAGTGCTGGACGTGAGGGGGTGTATTGGGAAAAACCCAAGTCCCACATCGACTAGAGATTAGGCAATTGAATAGTATATAAGTGGAAAGCAACCCTCACCTTACAAGCCGGTTTTGTAGGGTTGAGTTAGGCTTAATCCACTATTCTAACATTTTCTACTGACAGTTCTCTGAATTGGGATGAGTTCTGCTGCTAAAAGAATGGAAGAGCATGAGCTAATTCTAGGGGCGGTCCTTACCTCATGAACCAAATAACCTACAACAAAGAGTTTTCTGAGTCAATGAAGAATAAAGAAACTAATGAAAGCCTTTTAGAAAGATTATGCAACGGATTGAAGCTATCTTTATTGGAAAAAATTATTATCAGTCTTGTTTTATCTGATTCTGAGAATCCTGATGCCAAGCTGGGTGGTAAGTATGAAGTTACATTTTACTTGACTAATAATGTTCATGGTCATTTCTATACATAATACTGGCAACCATTTTTCAATACAATCATATATTGGTTGTATATTATTAGTTATCAATAGTAATTAATTCAGTTATGATGTTTAATTAGTTATCCATCATTTTACATGAAGATGGAGTTGTTCCACAAGTGTGGAGAAAGTGATTTTGATGCTATTTTGGAAGACATGCAGAAGGATATAAACATGGGAGATATTGTGAAGGAACAAGTCTATGGATGCACGGTTGATGTCTCAAAGTGCAAGGAGATATTTTCTCCATTCTCATCTCTAATTGATAATATGCTATCTAAATTACTTGGTGCAATTGCTTATAGTCGTACTGTGATGGAGGAAAACCAGAACACATACTTAACATTCCCTGCAGCCAATGGATCCAACGTGTCTGAGTTGCCACCTCTTAACTCCTGGAATATTTATGTCTTGGTAGATACAGTTAACCATCTTGTGAATTTTATTCAATAGGACTTAATGTTCCTCTCATTTTTTTATTTCCTTTTGAATAAGAAAGTAAATCATTTCATTTTTATGTGCTTTCTGATACAGGCACCTCAAACCAACTGGATATGTGTCATGGAAAATCTTGATCATGAAGGGTTTTTCCTTCCTTGTGAAGAAGCATTCCTTTTTCTCATGTGTGTGTATAAACATGCCTCTAAGGTATGATATCAGAACCTTAGATATGCTTTTCCCGTAGCTTAGCTGATTTAAAATCAGTTTTGATACAAGTTAGAAATAATTTTTAGAGCTTCTTTGCTGAAAAATAAAGAATTTTTTCTAGAAGAAAAGTTATCAAAGCCATTTTTAATCTTGTATCTAAATAGGCTTTTATATGCAAACTCTGGCATAAAATTCTGAATGTATGAAAATATACCTAGCAGGAACCATTTCCTCTCCATGCCATATGTGGATCTGTATGGAAGAATAGTAGAATACTGAGGGTCAGCTGTCTTTCCTTAAATACGCTGTATTAGCACCACCAGAAATATTTACCTTTGATATGCTGTATCAGCACCACCAGAAATATTTACCTTTGCACACTCGGGAAGATTGCTGGTACGATTATCTGTTTGTACATTTAGACCTGTTTGCATAAATTATTCCAAAAGCACTTTTAGAAAAAAAATTAAAATAAACTTATTAATGAACTAAAACTAAATTATACATGAGTTAAAAATAAAATTTTTGAAAAACTGATAAAAGAAAATTTCTACAAATTAACTTATATTTAAGCTAATTTTAACTCACGAAAAAACGTATTTATTTATTTATTTATTTAAATTTTTCTCTCTTAAAAATATTTCTAGAGAAGTTTATCTAAGTTGATCATTATTATTTCTTGTTCCTATTGCCAAATTCTTATCACAACAAATTGCTGTGCAGGCATATGTTGATGCAATTAATGGCCACAAGCTTCAAAATGGCCATGCAAATCATGCATAGTTGTGTCTTGACCTTTTAGACGTCCTCTGCCAGCTAGCCGAGAAGGGTCATGGCAATAATGTTCGATCAATCCTTGATTACCCTCTTAAACACTTTCCTGAAGTGTTGCTTCTTGGGATGGCACATATTAATGTACAATCTAATGGATTCATATTTGTTGGTTCTCAACAATTACCTATTCTATGTCTTTTCTTGATTCATGTAGTTTACATTTGTTGTTCTTGCAGACTGCCTATTATCTCTTGCAACGGGAAGTATCTCTGATTGTTTTTCCCAAGATAGTAAAAAGTGCTGTAGGCAGTGGGATGATTCTACACCTTTGGCATGTTAATCCCAATCTGGTCTTGAGAGGGTTTATGGATTCTCAAAACAATGATGCGGGCAGCATTATAAGAATTGTGGACATCTGTCGGGAGTTAAAGGTTGTTCTCTTTTTAAGTGTGTTTTTTTACTTTTATTCATTTCAATCATTTTCCTGATACATAGATAGATTGCACTAAGTTGTTATGGTTTTCTTGATTTTGTTATATTTGAGGATTACAATTGACTATTGATATGATTAAAATAGAAATAATGCATTAATAGAATATATAAGTAAAGAGTAATTTTTATCTTATAAACCAGTTTTATAAGATTAAGTTAGGTTCATAATAAAAAATCTCCTTGTAAGATAAGAATTGTTTCTCACTTATATATAGATATATCACTAGTGGATGTGGCCAAAATAGAAATAAGGCATTAGCAAAGTATATAAAGAGATAGCAATCCTCACCTTATATATTGATCTAGACTCAATTTGCTTTCTTAATATGTTTTAATAATAAGCGAATCTCACTTTCATTGAGCCCTTAGTTGCAAGAAGCCTTCAAATTTGTCTTCACGATTCACAAATGCCAATCTCTTTTCTTTTTTACAATCTTTTGCCATTTTTAACTCATGCTTCTTGTTGGTTTTACAGATTCTATCATCCGTGGTGGAAATTATTCCCTCTTATTATAGTATAAGGTTAGCAGCAGTGGCATCAAGAAAAAAATTCATTAACCTCGAGAGGTGGTTGAATAGAAACTTAACTAGAAGCAAGGACGTCCTTTTTGTGGTAACAATAATACCTTCCCTCGTGCTTTGGGTCCTAATTTTTTTACACACTAACTTCACAGATTTAGAGTCTAAATGAATACAAATTAAAAGTGCTTGAGAGTTTTTATATTGAAAATCACTACAAGAAAAACTAGTAATATCTATGGAATATTACCTACGGAATTTTTTCCGTAGGTAATTTTTAGTTATCTACGGAATATTACCTACGGAATTTTTTCCGTAGGTAATTTTTAGTTATCTACAGAGTATTACCTACAGAATTTTTTTCGTAGGTAAAATTTAGTTATCTACGGAAAAAATTCCGTAGGTAACTAAATAGAAGAAACGCGGTGTTTGGACTTCATTGAGTTAGGGGTTGCTGAAGACATTGAGGTTTTGTA